TTTTCCTTTGCTGTGCAGAAGCTTTTTAGTTTGAAGCAGTCTCATTTGTCAGTCCTTTCTCTTACTTGTTTAGTTATCTGAATTCTATTCTGGAAGTTGTTGCCTACCTATATATTCCAGTGTTTTCCCTACTCTTTCCTTCAGTAGTTTCAGAGTTACAGATCTTACGTTAAAAAGAAGAGCCACTTTGATGGACTTTGAATTGATATTAGTACAGGGTGAGAGGGATCGACTTTCAGTCTTCTACATTTGAATATCCAGTTTTCCTAGCACATTTATGGAAGAGGCATCTTTTCTCCAATGCATGTTTTGGGCTCCTTTATTGAAAATCAAATGACTATAGCTATGTAACATGACTATAGCTGCGTAACTATAAAGCCAGGAGCTTATAGCTCTTAACTCTTTTTTGGCAGTACTGGAGTTTGAACTCAGTGCCGTGCGGTCTTATTGGTTGAGCCACTCCGCCAGCCCTTACATCTCTTTTTAAATGTATAAATTCTGTATACCTCTCCCTGCTTTTTACTTTATTTTATTAATTTTTTGGGGGTAGTTCTGGAGTTTGAACTTAGGGCTTTGCACTTGCTAGGCAGGTGCCCTACCACTTGAGCCATGCCTCCAGTTCTTTTTTCTTTGATTATTTTTGAGATAGGGGCTCACTTTTTGCCCAGGCTGTCCTGGACCCTGATCCTCCCATTTTATGCTTCTCATTGTAGCTGGAATGATAGGCAAACACCACCTGGCCCAGCTTTTTTCTGTTTGTAAGGAGCTGTGTGAACTTTTTTGCCTGGACTGGGCTGGAACCTCCATCCTCCTGATCTCAGCCTCTGAGTAGTTGGGGTGATCAGTATGCGCCACTGTGCCCAGCTATTGGGGGTGGAGGGAGGAGTATCTCCTGCATATTTTGCCTGGGATGGCTTTGACCACCAGCCTCTCGAGCTAGGTTTACAGTTGTGAGCCACTAGCTTCTGGTTTGTTTTTATTTATTTTTTTGTAACATTTTGTTTATTGACAAAACCAGGTGGTTTGTCCATGAGAATTTACCAAAGTCAAGGCTTTTCTGTTTTAATCCTATGGTATCATATTTAATATATTCCTTTCTCTTCTGTATTTACTGTAAATTGGTAACGATGTAGAGGCTTGATTAGTTTGGGCTCCTTTTATTTTTTTAGGGAGGGTAATGGTATGGGATGGTGTTCATTTTTTATTTACCACATATCACTTGTCTGATTATTTCCCTTTTTGAGATAAGATGTGTTCAGTGAGTTTAAATACTATCATTTTGATCCTTTAACTATGAAGTTCCTGAAGCAGCTATTTTTGGGGTGTGTATGTTTTGTCTTTTGTGGTTACTAAGGTTTGAACTCAGGGTCTTGGGCTTGGTTAGGCAAGTGCTCTACTACTTAAGCCATGCCTCTAGCCCTTTTAGCTTTTACTTATTTTTCAGAGAGGATCTCGTGCTTCTTGTCTGGGTCATTCCAGTGCTGCGATCCTCTACTTACATCTCCTGTGTAGCTGGAATTACAGGTATACTGCCATGCCTGGCTTGTTGTTTGAGATAGGGTTTCACTTTTTTTTGCCTGGGCTGGTCTCAAAACTGCAGTTCTCTTGCAGTGCCTCCCAAGTAGCTGGGATTATAGGTGTGAACCACTCTGTTAAAGTTTTAATAAGTATCAATGATTATTGCCTTGATCCATTATTTCATTAGGATTTCAAAGTAATATTTATTAAGTAGAGTTTTTTTTAAAATTTTTGGGAGGATCCTTTTGTCATGAACTATTTAGCTCCATGACATGCAGGAAACTAAGGATAAGTACTTCATTCTTTCCTTTTATTTTCCAGTTTTCAAAATAATTGATTTCATAGTAGTGATCGAAGGGTACCAGTGAAGTTTTATATTAGTTTATTTTTAGTATTGTTGTGAGTCCATGGATTTAAAAAAATTAAATTTCATCTCTTTGCAGATATTATCCTTTTTGATGTTCAGATTGTCCCATCTGTGGCAAGTGGGAGTTCCTTTGATACTGCTCCAGTAGTTTTTGTGAGGTTTTTTGCTTCCTGGTATAACAAGATGTTTTAAGGTCCTTTTGTATGTTACTGCCCCAGGCTAAGAGCAGCCATTTCTTGAAGGAGCTGTTGTTAATCAGTGTTGCTATGCTTGGATAAAGTTAGGGATTTTTAAAGTAGTATTTTTTTAATATTATGTTTTCTAGTCTTTTAAATTCAAATTTAGGGCTCTAAGATTTTAACTTCCTTGATTTTGTATTTGTATTTTTTTGCATATGCTAAAAAATCTAGGCTCCAAATGACATTAACATAACTTAAATGTTTCAACTTGTATGTATAATGGTATTTTCTAATTTCTTTTCGTCTTTGGAATACATCCAATTCGAATTTACATTTATATTACTGTGTTTTAAAATGATTTGAAATAATTATTTTGTATGTGGTTAAGCTACCATCCCAATATAGTTAGATTTATTTATTTTTAGAGATTCTTTTAAAAAATTTAATTTTGTTTTATCATACGGTCATAAGCTCAAATCCAAATCAGCAAATTAAGGTACAGTGAGAAAAATCTAGATTTCATGCTTTTTTCCTCTGCCTATTCTTTTCCTACTTCTACAGATAACTGTTTTTAGTTTTTACCTTGCCCCTCCACTTCTAAAATATATGTGCATTCAAACACATATATTTCATATACCTATAAATAAACCTGTACTTTTATTCTCCTTAGGTTAAAAGGTAGCTTACTATGTACAGGTGTTTATCCTGTTTTTTATTTACCAGTATGTCCTGAAGGTCACTTCATAGCAGTTTGTGGATTTTTTCATTTCTTTTTGCTCCTTTATAGTGCTTCATTATGAGGATGTACCCTAGCCTTCTGCTACTACAAATGCTGCTGCTAACGGTATGCATGTATCTTTTCTTTTTCACTTAGCCAACTTTTTTAGTGATAAAGCCTTACCTTAGGAGTGGCACACTGGGCTATATACCAATGAACACACCATTTTGTTAGAAGTTGCCACAGTTTCTTCCAGAGGATTTGTATCACTTTGCAGTTCCAGAAATGAAAATGCTTTTATACTATGTAATTCAGTGAGCCTTCAAGGGCAGAAGAGGTGAATTAAAAGTATATGGGGTAGAAGAAAGGAAGTCCCATAGTTACTGATAAAATGTCAGTTTAATGAAAACTTACTGCAAAGGTTTTCTACCTTAAAATGAATTGATTAGTGAACTATATTCAAGTGAAAATGAAACACATACTTTGAATATAGATATTTTCTTGATGTGTGTATGTGTGTGAATTACATAAAAGTGAAAATTTTATCCTTTGAATGAAAAAAACTTGAGTATTAAATGCTTTAAATTCCTTGCTAATCTGAGCTTTCATTTGACCTACTGAGAATTTTGCATGAAAAAAAAAAAAGGGTTAGTTAGCTATGCTTTGAGGACTAAATTTACTATTTGCTATTGCTTGGTTGGGAATTTGGCATTTGTAGATTTGTAGTTTTGGTTGTCTATGTACATCCTAGAAAGATTATGGTATATAATTGTGAGAGAATACATGAACATGGAATCTACAGTCTTCTATCACAACTTTAGTGCAACCTTTTTGTCTCTACTTCACATTTTTAACACTTTTTATTGATGATGTGAGAGTCAAATTTTTCAGTGTATCAAGTGAATACTTTGCATTTTGTAGAAGAAATTATATGCTATAATGGTGCTTGTGTCTGGGGACTTTGAAGTTCTAGGAAGAATCATTCATTTTATCAAAGCAGTATTCTGTTGTAGGAAGGAAAAAAATTGGAAGGAGAGGTTGAACTCTGATGGAAAAAGACCTTTCAGGCTAGTAAGTTTGAACTTTATTCTGCTGACAGTGGGAAATTAATAAAGGGTTTATAAGAAATTTAGCTTTAGATTCTTTCAGTGAAAAACTTCAGTGGATACTTGTTAGTGTTCATGTAAACGTTGCAGTGTTATCAAGTATTACGTAAAATTACTTTTTGCTAATGGAGAAACTGAGACATACTTGTAATTGTTAATATCTGTGATAACAGATGTATATTGAGGCCATATTATGTGCCAGGTACATAGTACTCTACTAAATGCTTTAAGGGATGTCTCTTTTAATCCTCATGGCAACAGGACACAGGAGGAGATAGTGTTACCTCATTCTCTTCCCATCAGAGGAGAAATGTAAGGCTTAGGGAAATTAAGCATGTTATTCAGACTTGTAGAGGACCGTGGACCTATAGAGGACTCTGTTGGAACAATCAGCAATATTTGGGTCCTCTTCACTAAATGGTAATTTTGATCAATTGTTAACATCTAGATTTTGATGATGACATTGTGATAGAATATCCATATACTTAGGATATGGTTTATACACACACACACACCACACACACACACGTATGAACACACATTTGAGATATTAAGGGTTAATAGGCATCATGATGGAAACATTTTCAGATGGCTCAAACATGTTAACAGTTTGCTCTTGTGGGTGAATGGGATACAGGAGCTCTGAAATTCCTATATAACTTGTATATAATTTCATAATAAAAAGCATTGACTCTTCCAAGTCACATGGCCAGTCTGAGGCAAAACAGAGAGTGTAACACTGAACTCAAGTCTCTCGGTGTGTGTGTATCTTTACTGCCTTTTTTATTTTATCTAACCAAGGTCACAGATGATAGCAAAGTTAAAAATACAAGGAGATTTTTATGTATTCCTCATATTTACTTATTAATTATACTTTTAACAATATTAGCTATTATTTTCAAGTTTCTTCGAAATCAGGTAATTTGCCTTTTGTGCAGTAATTTTACTCCGAGGTCACTTAGATTAAATGTTAAATGACTGTAGGTTTTTCTTCTTTGCTATCTTTTTTGTAAGGTTATACTTTATTATGAATTATTAAACACATTTGCAGTTTTTACATTTTAATTGTTTCAAATGTATTTAGTAATTATATTCTTTTGCTTTTGGCATAGGTTATCTTATGATGAGGCCTTTGCTATGGCTAATGACCCCTTGGAAGGCTTCCATGAAGTAAACCTTGCTTCACCTACTTCTCCAGACCTCCTTGGTGTATGTGAATCAGAAACTCAAGAGCAGACTACCTCACCAAGTGTCATCTACCGGCCACATCCTTCAGCTTTATGCTCTGCGCCTGTCCAGGCTAATGCACTGGATGTCTCCGATCTTCCTACCCAACCTGTGTATTCATCCCCCAGACGTTTAAACTGTGCAGAAATATCTAGCATCGGGTAGGAGATCAGTAGCACATTTATTTTGGATTGTTGTTTTGAAAAAAATAGTTTCAAAAATTGGTTACCTTGAGTTTTACTATTTTGGGAAATCTGAATAATATAAGCTTGCCCATGTAGAGCAATACATTTTAATGTTCTGGAGCAGGGATTAACAAACTTTATGTAAGGGGCCAGACAGTAAATATTTTAGGCTTTGCAAGCCACACAGTCTCTGTCTCAACTTCTCAGTTTTGTCTTTTAGAGCGTGAAAGCAGACATGGACAGCATGTAAATGAATGAGCATGGCTGTATCCCAATAAAATTTATATATGGACAAAAAATTTTGAATTTCACATGAATTTTTATATGCCACAACTATTATTTGGATTTCTTTTCCACCATTTGAAAATGTAAAAATCATTCTTGGCTTATGGGACTTTCGAAAACAGGTGGCAGGCTTGATTAAGCCATCAGGCAGTAGTTTGCCAGCCCATGTTCTCAAGTAATAGTATCCTGTAGAATTAGGTGACAATGAAAATGTTCTGTTTCTCTGCTAAGATGAATGATGGCTATTAGCCACGTGCCCACTGAGCACTTGAAATGAAACTTGTATTGAGGGCTTGCTGTTAACTAAATAGGAAGGCTACCAAATGGATAGTATAGTTTTGGAGCTATGATTTTTGCCATTTCTTTTGAGCATATACTGATGTTTTCTGAGAATTGTTTCTCTCCATTACAGCATTCATGTTACAGACCCAGCATCTTCTATTAGCTCTGGAGTCGCAACTGGTCTAACTAAATTAACTACGAGAAAGGACACCTGCAATGCAGAGAGAGAGTTTTTACAGGGTGCCACTGTCACAGAGACTTGTGCTGGCAGTGATGATATTTTTGGGTTGAGTACAGATAGTCTGTCCCGTTTACGAAGCCCATCTGTTCTGGAAGTTAGAGAAAAGGGCTACGAAAGATTAAAAGAAGAACTTGCAAAAGCTCAGAGGGTAAGAAAAAAAAAATTATCCTTCCACATATTATACTAGAAATTGCCACTTTTCCATGGGGTGGGGCAAGACATAAAAGATATCATTACAGTTCTACACTTATCCTTTACATTTGTTCAACTTCATTTCCTCTTGAGCAGCAGAAAGGAATCTATGACATTGGTTGAGTAATAAAGAAGACCTGTCTTAGAGAATTCACTGGAAAAATGAGATTCTGAAAGCTCTTGTACTCCCTGAATTGACTGCTCTCTGTCTTGCATTATCTGTAATGCAAATTTAGTGGTTATATTCTACATGCACATTTTCCCTCCTTATATGTGTTTGATTTGGTAGTCATTTACTTAAAGTCATTGTTTGATTCTTTTTATTTTGAGGAATTGTTTAGTGACATTACTTTCATTACTCTACTGGGCATGAATATTTTCTGTAAATTACCTTTCAGGATTTTCTTTTCTTGGTAAGTTATTCTGTTTCCCACTTGGTTTTTAAAATTTCTATTTTCAAATTTGTGGCTGTTGTTATATTTCAGAGGAGAATATATAGCATTAAAAATGGGAAAAGTTTCTAGTGAACATTTTAAGCTTTTACTTTAAGAACTTAAAAAAAAAGACCAAAATAAAACCAGAGAAGGAAATATAATAACGATAAGAGCAGAGCTCAGTGACACTTACAAGAGGAAAAATAGAGAATATGAATAAAACACAATTCTGGTTCTTTAAAAGATCAATAAAATGACAAACCTCTGGCAAGACTGACAAAGAATAAAATACAAGATACAGATTTTTGATTGCAGAAGTGAAATGGGATATCACTGATGACATCAAAAGCACAATATGGGAATGATATCAAAAACTGTACATGCATAAATTTGACAACTGTGGTAAAATACCAATTTACATTTTGAGAATTGAGATGATAGGGCAAGCGTTAGATAGGTATAATTTCTTGCATACTATGATATTTCATAGGCATGTATTTCATCCTCTTCCTACCAGATTTGACTTTCTCAACACCATAACTTCTTTTTTTTAAAATCCCCAGTCCCTAGCCTAATATCGGAAAATAACCTGGCATATGTAACTGCCTCGATGCATGGCTAATGGTTAAATAGCCATGCATATATGGTAACATTTTTTGTTAAAATATATTGTATCAGGAAGAAAAATTAATAGCCTTTTAAACTTTTCCCAAAAGGAAGGATATGGTGGTATCATTTTGCTTTTACCATTTGGCTTTATTGTCTTCATACACAGTGTTTTAGTGAAATCACAGACTATGTAGAGGTAAGCTATTAAGCACATATATCTTATCTTTGAAAACACTTTGTGTTACTTATTGACCCTAATTGATTGCTAATCTCTTTGCTTAATTGGGAAATTCTTTTTTTTTTTTTTTTTTTTTTGCCAATCTAAAATCAGATTTATTTCTCTTTGGAAGAAGTTAGAGACTCATATTCAGAAACATACAATCATCTGGGCTGGTTCTGATACCCTGTGTCTCCCCTCAGCACGGTGGGTGGAGACTGCTCCCCTGCCTTACTATCGCCACCCACTCACTCTTGGTTCCTCAGTGTCCATCTCTGCTCCCTATCTAGGTTCCAGTCATTCCCGTATTACTTCTTTTTTTTTTTTTCCATTTTTCTTTTATTATTCATATGTGCATGCAAAGCTTGGTTCATTTCTCCTCCCTGCCCCCACCCCCTCCCTTACCACCCACTCCGCCCCCTCCCTCTCCCCCCCCCTCAATACCCAGCAGAAACTATTTTGCCCTTATTTCTAATTTTGTTGTAGAGAGAGTATAAGCAATAATAGGAAGGAACAAGGGTTTTTGCTGGTTGAGATAAGGATAGCTATACAGGGCATTGACTCACATTGATTTCCTGTGCGTGGGTGTTACCTTCTAGGTTAATTCTTTTTGATCTAACCTTTTCTCTAGTACCTGTTCCCCTTTTCCTATTGGCCTCAGTTGCTTTAAGGTATCTGCTTTAGTTTCTCTGCGTTAAGGGCAACAAATGCTAGCTAGTTTTTTAGGTGTTTTACCTATCCTCACCCCCCCTTGTGTGCTCTCGCTTTTATCATGTGCTCATAGTCCAATCCCCTTGTTGTGTTTGCCCTTGATCTAATGTCCACATATGAGGGAGAACATACGATTTTTGGTTTTTTGAGCCAGGCTAACCTCACTCAGAATGATGTTCTCCAATTCCATCCATTTACCAGCGAATGATAACATTTCGTTCTTCTTCATGGCTGCATAAAATTCCATTGTGCATAGATACCACATTTTCTTAATCCATTCGTCAGTGGTGGGGCATCTTGGCTGTTTCCATAACTTGGCTATTGTGAATAAATGCCGCAATAAACATGGATGTGCAGGTGCCTCTGGAGTAACAGTCTTTTGGGTATATCCCCCAAGAGTGGTATTGCTGGATCAAATGGTAGATCGATGTCCAGCTTTTTAAGTAGCCTCCAAATTTTTTTCCAGAGTGGTTATACTAGTCTACATTCCCACCAACAGTGTAAGAGGGTTCCTTTTTCCCCGCATCCTCGCCAACCTGTTGTTGGTGGTGTTGCTGATGATGGCTATTCTAACAGGGGTGAGGTGGAATCTTAGTGTGGTTTTAATTTGCATTTCCTTTATTGCTAGAGATGGTGAGCATTTTTTCATGTGTTTTCTGGCCATTTGAATTTCTTCTTTTGAGAAAGTTCTGTTTAGTTCACGTGCCCATTTCTTTATTGGTTCATTAGTTTTGGGAGAATTTAGTTTTTTAAGTTCCCTGTATATTCTGGTTATCAGTCCTTTGTCTGATGTATAGTTGGCAAATATTTTCTCCCACTCTGTGGGTGTTCTCTTCAGTTTAGAGACCATTTCTTTTGATGAACAGAAGCTTTTTAGTTTTATGAGGTCCCATTTATCTATGCTATCTCTTAGTTGCTGTGCTGCTGGAGTTTCATTGAGAAAGTTCTTACCTATACCTACTAACTCCAGAGTATTTCCTACTCTTTCTTGTATCAACTTAAGAGTTTGGGGTCTGATATTAAGATCCTTGATCCATTTTGAGTTAATCTTGGTATAGGGTGATATACATGGATCTAGTTTCAGTTTTTTGCAGACTGCTAACCAGTTGGGAAATTCTTTTGAAATCTTGTTTTGCTGTACTTAGAGGTAGTGTTGAGATAATTTTATTAAGAATACAAAATAGTTTTAATATTTACTGAGGTCTGAAGGCTTGAAGAGGACTCTTGAATATGAAAATATGTTCTGAATTATGGCAACCTTTGAATCAAAAGTATATCAACAGTCATTCTCTTTATTCTGTTTATTTTCAGCTGCCATTTTTTATCCTTTAACTTCTTTGTGTCTTCCTATTTATTCATTTCTGTTTTTTTGGTGGGACTGGGGTTTGAACTCAGGGCTTCACGCTTGCAAATCAGGTGCTATACCACTTGTGCCACACCTTCAGTCTGTTGCTGTGGTTATTTTGGAGATGATGTCTCTTGAACTATTTGTCCAGGCTGGCCTCAAACTATGATCTTCTCAAACCCATCCTCCCAAGTAGCTAGGATTACAGGTGTGAGCTACCATACCTGGCAGTCTGTCTTACTATTTAATGTGGGAATCTTGTAGTTTGGTCTTTCTTTTTATCCTTTCTAATAATCTCTGCATTTAATTGGTATATTTAGGCCATTTACATTTAATATGATATTGATGTGATTTGATTATATCTACCAAAAAGTTTTACATTCCTCACTTATCTCTTGTCTTCTCATGATTCCTATTACATGTACATTAGACTGTCTATAATTATCCCACAGTTCACTGGGTTCTGTTCACTTATTTTTAAATCTTTTTCCCTCCATGCACTGTTGTGGATAGTTTCTATTGCTGTGTCTCTAATGTCACTACTTTCTTTCTGAAGTATTTAATCTGTTAATCCCATGTAGTATATGCTAAAATCTGGACATTGTAGTTTTCAGTTCCAAAAGTTTGATTTGGATCTTTTTTATGTTTTTCTTTCTTTAACATGATTAGTCTTACTTCAAGTTTCTTGAATCTATAGAATACAGTTTTAAACTTTTCTAACCTGTTCTCTCTTCATATAATAACCTAGGGCTCACCTTATTTGTGTCCAGTTTCTAGAGTATCACTCTTTGTTGCCAAATGTACAGTGGGTTGAAAATTATTGCTTCATATGTTTTTCCCAGTTTTTTTAGTTTAGTCAGATGTGTGGCAAATCTGAACCTTGTTACCCTGTCTTGATTGAAAGTGAAAGTTGTATTTCTTTATTTATATTATTTGATTGTCTGCCCTACTCCAGGTAATGCCCAGACAAAAACATATACTTCCACACACATGCTTCATTTATTTTTGAGCTTCATGAGGACATGGATTGCATGTGTTTTTGTTTATGTTTTATCTGAAGCATGTAATAGATTCTCAATATATTTTGTTGATTAAGTGAGTTATATATGTGTGTATGCAGTTACATTGGTGTATCAATAGTCACACATGCACAATATATTAGTTTAGGTGATGCAAACTGCTTATAAACCACCACAACATTTTGTTGAAGGTGTAGACATTAGGTTCTTCTAATGTCCTAGTAGGTGTATTTGGTTTTAGGAATTCTTTTTTGGAGGATTAAAAAACTGATACCTCCACAGTTGCACCATGACTGACTCCTTATTTTATTAGTATAATTGTGACTTAATATGTGAAGAGGTTAATTTAGGGCTACTTCAATACATAGTTGCATATTATAATGTCTTTTTGTTCTCTATTTTAATGTCTTAAAGGAATTTTAATCATCTATTTGTGACCTGCAAAGAAGTCATATATAAATGTGGGATGTATTTTTTGTCATTAACACTGTTCTTGATTTTAAATGCTAATATCCATGTAGCAAGTGCTAAATAAACATTTTTAATGTGACCATGTAGGAGATGGTAATATATTAGTAAAAATTATACAGTCTACCAAATATAACTTTAAACTACAGAGATCTAAATAAATATGAGTAATTTCTCATAGGAGCTGAAGTTAAAAGATGAAGAATGTGAGAGACTTTCAAAAGTGCGAGATCAACTTGGACAAGAATTGGAAGAACTCACAGCTAGTCTATTTGAGGTTAGTCTTATTTAATCTTGACCAACAGCAACCTTTTGATTTTTATATATTGATAGAATTGGGTTTTTTTGAAAGAATCTCGCAAGGGATATAGTTGGCTTCATGTATATTTATAAGTCATCTGAGCAAAAAATAAAAATCTTAAAAAATGTAGTCTATAATTTAAAGTGATATGAAGAGAGAAAAACAAAATAAAACCCTACCTATAACAGTACCAGGTAGTTTAAAAATGAGAAGATCACAAGGTTTAGGACATCCTTTTATATAATAGGATTACAGGTGTGAGCCACTGACATCTGGCTGCAGGCTACTTTAGAATAACTTTTTATGATTCCATGACAAAGATGGTAAATCCTTGGGGTAGTCATTCTATATGCGGTGATTTGAGGAATATTTAGAAGACACACTTCTTTATCTCCAGCCTGCCACCAATACCAAAATTTCTACTCAACTAGAGAATTGATTCTCAATAGGAGTGCCACTGGCCTGGGGAAACAAAGAAAGCAGGTGTGTGAGAGAGAGAGAGAGAGAGAGGTTATTACAAAGAGAGAGGTTATTATAAAGAATTGACTTGTGATTATGGAGGCTGATTAAGTCCCAGCAGCTGCAAGGGTAAGTTGGCAAGCTGGAGATCCAGGATAGCCAATGGTGTAGTTCCAGTCTTGAGTTTAAATGCCTGAGAACAAGGAAGAGCCATATTTCAATTAGAATCTGAAGTAAAAATACTTTTTTTACTTAGGGGAAGGTGATTAGCCTTAACTGTTTGGGTGAGGCCCACCTGCATTATAGAGGACAATATACTTTATGAAGTCTACCTATTTAAATGTTAATCTCATCTAAAAATACCTCAGAGAAATACCCAGGATAATTTGAGCACCCTGTGATCCAATTAAATTGGTAAAATTAACCTTGCACTGGGCTCTGTCCCGAAAACGTTACTAACACTCCTTGATTATTTTGACAACTTATGGTACCTCCAGGGTATGGGAAGGAATGGTACTTCCATGGTAAAGCACCTTTGCCATAAAGTGTGTCCTTTGGATTAAGAGCTTGAGTTTTTAGAGGTTTCTTATCAAAACTGCTATGTGTTACTGGAATGGCTAATGCCATTATCACTTAGCAGTATTTTCTCTCCCATTGCCCCAGAGATTTGTTGTAATTAAAAAAAACCAAAACTTTAGTGGAAAAATTCTACCTTTTGATATTTTTATTTATGTAACATCTGTTTTCAGTTTTCAAGATACGTGTATTTTCCTACATAGTTGTAATTCTATGTTTTTTGTGCCTGATTTTTTTTAGGATAACATTTTTCAGTCACTAATTGTAACGTTGGTCAGAATCTATCATGTATGTGTTCAACAATTTTTGTTTTAACAAGTAACATTGCAATGGATATCTTCAGGGCTTTCTGAGGCCGCTCTCTGTCTTGTATTTTAATACATTAAAACTAATGTATTTATGTCTTTAGCTACCTAGTCTTCAGAATTGACAGGAAAATAAATTTAAGGATGGAAAGAATGGCAAGTTAAGGCTGTAGAATAGAAGCTATGTGAATTGTTATGTTTTATATATAGATGGATATACAGAAACATACGACATTTTCTTCCAATTTGGCTAAAAGAAAATTTTGTAATGATACATGGATACAAGGTAAAAAGCAAACATATTAAGTTATTTATGTTAATTTTGATTTTCTGCATGCTTGCATTTCATTTTAGTCTTGTTTATTTAGCACCACCCATCTGCATGTGTATATATTCTGTTAGGTGAAGTAGGAGAATAAGGAAAGAAACTTTTTTTCCATAGCAGGATGTAAAGGACCAGAAATGCAGTCCATGCAATTAGTGAAAAGTATATCTAAAAAATAGTTTGGGAGTCTCTAACCTATCCCTAATCTAACAGTGAGTAATAAAACTTTGACACTGAATACTCTCTGGGAAAGCAAGTGTATTGATTAAAGATGATTTCAGTATTGAAGAAAGTTGCATTCAAGCCAATGATTTTTGAATTGTGAGAAAAAATACTAAGTTTTTTGTGGTCTTAATTGTGCCTTCATAATCTCAGTGTATCATTATCTTATGAAAAGATTATTTGCTTGCATTTATGTGTGCATAATTTTTTAAGAATTAGAAATTATTCTGAATAAATTCAATTTGTACACTTTTGGTATATGCACTGGTTCTGGGCATAAACAATACCCTGTTTTAAAAACTAAAGCAAATAGAGCTGGGCACATGGCTCCAGTGGTAGAGGATTTGCCTGGTAAGTGCAAGACCCTGAGTTTAAGCTCCAGTTCTGCAAAATGAATGAATAAAAATAAAAGCAAAGATCAAAGAAGAGAAATGGCAAAAGTGTCCTTAGAAATAAAAAGGGTCATAAAGGACTTCTATGAACAATTTATGCCAATAAATTGAATAACCTATAAGAAATAATGTATAAACTCCTAGAAACATGCAATCTATCAAAAATAAACCAAGAAGATACAGAAATTCTGAACAGACCAATGACAAGTAAAGGAGTCAGTAATCAAAAACTAGCCAATAAAGAAAAGCTTAGGACAAGCTAAATTCACAGGTGAATTCTACCAAACATTCAAAGAGAATAACAATCCTTCTCAATGCTTATAAATATAAAAGAGACAATACTTTGAAATTCATTTTATGAGGCAAGTATCCCCCTGATACCAAAGTCAACAAAGATACCATGAGAAAAAAAGGAAAAAAAAAAAAAAAACACCAAAACTATAGGTCAATATTCCTGCTGAACACAGGTGTAAAAATCATCAATAAAATACTAGCAAATTGAATTTTACAGCACATGACAAGGATTATATATCATGACCAAGTAGGATTTATCCCTTGGATATAAGGGTGAAACATCAGTCGGTGTGATATACTACATTAATAGAAGATAAAAACCACATAATTACCTCAATAGACACAGGAGAAGTTTTACAAAATTCAACATCCATTTGTGATAAAAAAAATTCATAATAAAGTAGGTATTGAAGGAATGTAATTCTGTACAATAAGGGTCATATATGAACAACCCATACTTCACGTCATAATCAATGGTGAAAAACTTAAGTTTTTCTTTTAAGATCTGGTACAAGCCAAAAATGCCCACTTTTCACCAATTCTACTTAATGTAGTACTGGAAGTCCTATCCAGAACAATTAGGCGATAAAAAGAAAGAAATAAAATGTTATGTTTGCAGATGACATGATCATATGCATTGAAAATCAAAGGGATTCAACAACTACAAAAAAGTTGGAACTAGTAAATGAATTTAGTAAAATTGCAAGATAACAGAAATCAGTAGCATTTCTATATATAATGAACTATTTGAAAAGGAAATTAGGAAAATCTCATTTATAAAAAGTTAAAAATTCAAGTGCTTAGGAATAAGTGTAAACAATGAGGTGAAAGAGTTGTGCACTGAAAATTATAATTAAAGGGAATTAAAGAAGACACAGACACACAAAAAGACATTCCATATTCATGGATTGGAAGAATTAATACTGTTAAATTTCAATACAACCCAGTATCAATAGATTCCCATCAAAATCCAAATGACATTCCCTAAGAAATAGCAAAAATGTTAACATTCATGTGGGACTGTAAAATTGCTGAATAGCCAAACAGTCTTGAGCAAACAAAATAGAGTTGCATATATCACATTTTGTGGCTTCAAAATACATAACAAAGCTGTAATAATCAAAACAGCATAACACTGATAAAAAGATGTATATACTGATTGATCAGAATAGAGAACCCTGGAATAAGTCTGTGCATTTATGATGAACAGATTCTCCCAAGGATGCTAGTAAACACCTAATGGAGAAAGGATAGTCTCTTCAATAAGTGGTGCTAGGAAAGTTGGCTGTCTACATACAGATGAATGGAATTGACCCTGTCTCATACCATAAACAAACAATAACTCAAAATTTGTTTAAAGGTGCACATGTAAGTCTTGAAACCATAAGACTACTAGCGGAAATGGAAAAAAGTTTTTGACACTGGTCTGAACAGATTTCTTTTGGATATGACCAAAGCACAGACAACAAAAGCAAAAATAGATGTAGAATTGCATCAAACAAAAACTTCTGCATAACAGTCAACAAAATAAAAAGGCAGTATGGAAGGAAATATTTACAAACTATATATTTGACAAGGGATTAAATATCTAAAATAATATAAAGAACTCAATAGCAAAACAACAACAACAAAACCCCACAATTTAAAAATGGCCTAAGGGCCTGAATAGACTTTTTTCCCCAAGAAGATCTATAAGTAGCCAACAAAAGTATATGAAAAGTGTTCAACATCATTAATCAAGTAAATGCAAATTGAAACTCCAAAGAGATAACACTTCATACCTGTTAAAATAGTTATTATCAAACTACAGAAGATAGAAGGTATTGACAAGAATATGGAGGAAAAAAAATGTTTTTGTACTGTTGGGAATGTAAATTGATACAAACATTGTAGAAAACAGCATGGAGGTTCCTTCTCAAAAAACCAAAAGTAAAACTATCAGCAATCCAGGTATATATCCAAAGGAATTGAAATTAGTATCTTTATATCTGTATTCCTATGTCTATTGAAACAGTATTCTTCATAGTCAAATATGTAAGCAAATGTCTTATCAGTGGATGAATACATAAAATCTGATGTGTGTATGTGAATTTTACTCAGCCTTACAAATAAAAAAAAAAAAAAAGAAAGGAAATCCTGCCATTTGCAACAGCATAGATGAGCCCAGGGGGTATTATGTTAAGTAAAAGCCAGACAAAGAAAGAGCAATTCTCCGTGGTCTCACTTCTATGTATATTCTAAAGAAGTTGAACTTGTAGCAGCACAAAAGTAAATTGGTGGTTACCAGGGATGAAGAGGTGGGGGTTATGGGAGATGTTGCTCAAATGGTACAAAGTTTCATTTATTCATAACAGATAAATTCTTGGTATAATGTGCAACTTGTTGTCTGAATTGAATGTTTGAAATTTGCTATATGAGGTGATGGGTATGTCATTTTTTTTCTTATGTTACTGGGGTTTGAACTCAGGGCTTTGCACTTGTCAGCAAGCACTCTACCAGTTGAGCTGGCTCTTCATGGTTTAGTTTTTGTTTCTAGATAGGATCTTGTGCTTTTGTCCCAGTCCTGCTTTGGACAGAGATCTTCCTATCTCCACTGCACATGTAGCTAGGATTACAAGCATGACCACCACGCCTGGCCTATGGGTATGTTTAGTAAAACAGAAGTATATCAACTGCAACTTTTACTGTTCATAAATTTTTATTGAGACAGCACATTCATTTGTGTATTGCCTATGGTGGCTTTCACAGTATAAAAGTATAGTTGAATAGTTGCAACAGAAACCATGTATGGCTCTCAAGTCCAAAAATACCATTTGACCTTTTACAGAAAGTTTGCTGACTCTGGTATTTGATAATTCTTCTGTCAGTTTTTCAGCTTCAGAAAGACAGTGATAAAACAAAATCGCAAACTTAAAAACACCTTTTGATAGTTTTTGTAGATTTACAAAATCTTGTGCATTATCTTTTTAGATACTGCTTCTACCTCAGTCTAGCTCTCTTCTTTTGGAACAACAGTTACATGATTTGGGACATCTTTCATTGTATCCCTTATTTACTGGAAAGTTCACCTCAAACTCCACCTCACTTTTCTGAGTTTGATTCTTGACCATAATTGTCCACTATTTTCTTACCTCTAATGTTTCAAACACATTAAAGAAAAAACTTGTTGGAGGCTTTGTGCATATTGCATAGGTGACAATGAAAGTAGAGGCCATTTCCAGACATGTAACAAATATCCTCCATAGCATTAGTTAATTGGCATTCATGGTTAAATGTCACTTACCTTGAAGGGTCAGTTTAGGTATGTTTATTATTTTGAAAATATCTGCCAGATAGTCTTCGGTTGACAGCTACTTACAACCCTCCCGAATTCAGCAAATCTGAAACAATTGTTATTTTTAAAAGGAAAATGCTTAACTCATTAAATTTGTCAGTTCTTAAGGACTTTGCCAAAACAACTAACGTAATAGTGCATGGAATATTTTTGTGCTTAATCTCATTTTGTTATAAATCATTGATATTAAAGATTCTCATTTAAATGAATTCAATCTGTAATTCATGTTCTTTGGCACACACAAATAATACTGTAAAAGGAACACATGGGACTGCCATTGTCATACTCTGATGTAGAGAATTTTCATTCTTCCACTCTGCTCCTGAATAGTTGACAGACATAGTGAGAGAACAGTTGTCAAACTACATATTTATTAAATGTCTTCAAACCTCTCTCCTTTCTGTTCACCATCAGATAAACTGTAAATTAAAGTTCTAAAAATCCTTTGCATCCCTGGGAACTATGTGATCCCATACTATTCTTAATTCCTTATATGGATTATTCCACACACCAGTGTAATCTTTTAAAAATATGAGATCATGTCATTTTCTTCCTAAAATAAAAAAAAGAAAAGACTTAAATTTGCAGAATTCTTACCCTGATTTTTTTTTTGATTATTAGAATGTACTCAGAATGTGATTTCTCCAAGAGTGGGGGAATGGGGGAGCTTGTCTCTTTTCCCAGTATGTTATCAGCACCTGCAGCAGTACCGCACAAGGAGATGTCAGGAATAAATGTTTAATGAGTAAATATTGTGTGAGTAAAAGGAAATTAACTTCATATTTGTGTTATTAAAAATTAAGACCTTATTAAAGATAAATTCTGACTTGCCTTTTTAGGTTGCTCCGTACAAAATTTTCACCTATTTTATGAACGCTTTTATTAGAAGCTCTGAGGCTTCTCAATTGTCATTTCTATAAAGTATAACACTATTAATGTGTCAGTATTTTTTTATTTATCTCTTTGTATATATTTTTCCTGTGCCTAATGTTGTGAATATACATGTGATCAAAGTAGAAATACATAACTGCAAAGAAATTGGCTTTGATCTGTGGGCCATTGTCTAGTTTCTTTCATCACATTCACAGTTCTTAAATAAACATTGATTGAAATGATTGAGCTCAACTTGGCTGCCTCATTGGTAATAGGAACTAAATGGAGGGTATCTATTTCTAATTCCTAACTGTTTGTCACGCTGGTGTCAATTGTTTCCATAGTTGACCTTGAGTTCTTAGTTTCAGGCTAAATTTTGGCAGTATATCTTGCTTCAGTCGTAGATACTTGGTGAAAGGTTTTTGAAAATGGAATGCTCAATTCTTTGTTTCCAAAACGTATACTACCTTTTTTTCAGGAAGCGCATAAGATGGTGAGAGAAGCAAATGTCAAACAGGCAACAGCAGAAAAGCAGCTGAAAGAAGCACAAGGGAAAGTAAGTTTTTTCTGCTTCTGGTAATATAACATATGGAGAAATTAGTAATTACTGTTTAGAAGATATCTTAATACCTATTTGATTTTGTTCTGACTGTAAAAGTAGTGTTTATTTTAGACCTGGAAACTAAAAATAGCTACTAGATAGTTTTAATTAATAGTGATAATATATAGTGTCCATTTATATTAGAAAACAAATGATTTAGTACCTTGTAAATCACATCAAAAAGATTATATAATCACATTTAAACTTAATATTTATTTTCTGTTTTTTAAACATTTTTATTAGTATGTGCTAGTTATACAAGGGATTCTGTTGTGATATTTCCACATATATACATATATTATACCCCAGTTTGGTTACTCCCCTCCATTGTTCTTCCTCTTACTTAAAATAACTTCAACAGGTTTCAGTGTTCCATATTCATACATGTATAGAAAGTACATTAACCGTATCCACACTCTTTTACCTTCTTCATTTACCCTTCCTCTCCGACTATATTTATTTTCTTAATTCACTGAAAAAAGCCACCTAAATGTTAGTAGATATTACTGTTTTTTGGGTTTTTAAAAAATTTTTATTTTATTCATATGTGCATATAATATTTGGGTCATTTCTCCCCCCTTCTTCCACCCCCTCCCTTACCCCCCTAACCCCCTCCCTCTCCCCTCCTACCCCCTCGCTACCCAGAAGAAACTATTTTGCCCTTATCTCTAATTTTGTTGAAGAGAGAGTATAAGCAATAATAGGAAGGACCAAGTGTTTTTGCTAGTTGAGATAAGGATAGCTATTCAGGGAGTTGACACACATTGATTTCCTGTGCATGTGTGTTACCTTCTAGGTTAATTCTTCTTGATCTAACCTTTTCTCTAGTTCCTGGTCCCCTTCTCCTATTGGCCTCAGTTGCTTTAAGATAACTGCTTTATTTTCTCTGCGTTGAGGGCAACAAATGTTATCTAGTTTGTTAGGTGTCTTACCTATCCTCATACTTCCCTTGTGTGCTCTCACTTTATCATGTGATCAAAGTCCAATCCCCTTGTTGTGTTTGTCTTTGCTCTAATGTCCACATATGAGGGAGAACATATGATTTTTGGTCTTTTGGGCCAGGCTAACCTCACTTAGAATGATGTTCTCCAATTCCATCCATTTATCAGTGAATGGTAACACTTCATTCTTCTTCATGGCTGCATAAAATTTCATTGTGTGTAAATACCACATTTTCTTGAACCATTTGTTGGTAGTGGGGCATCATGGCTGTTTCTATAACTTGGCTATTGTGAATAGTGCTGCAATAAACATGGATGTGCAGGTGCCTCTTAGTAACCTGTGTCACAGTCTTTTGGGTATATCCCCAAGAGTGTATTGCTGGATCATATGTTAGATCAATGTTTAGCTTTTTAAGTAGCCTCCAAATTTTTTCCAGAGTGGTTGTACTAGTTTACATTCCCACCAGCAGTGTAAGAGGTTCCTTTTTCCCCACATCCTCGCCAACACCTGTTGTTGGTGGTGTTGCTAATGATGGCTATTCTAACAGGGTGAGGTGGAATCTTAGTGTGGTTTTAATTTGCATTTCCTTTATTGCTAGAGATGGTGAGCATTTTTTCATGTGTTTTTGGCCATTTGAATTTCTTCTTTTGAGAAAGTTCTGTTTAGTTCACTTGCCCATTTCTTTATTGGTTCATTATTTTGGGAGAATTTAGTTTTTTAAGTTCCCTATAATTCTGGTTATCAGTCCTTTGTCTGATGTGTAGCTGGCAAATATTTTCTCCACTCTGTGGGTGTCTTTCAGTTTAGAGACCATTTCTTTGTTGAGCAGAAGCTTTTTAGTTTTATGAAGTCCCATTTATCTATGCTATCTCTTAGTTGCTGTGCTGCTGGGTTCATTGAGAAAGTTCTTGCCTATACCTTAATCCAGAGTATTTCCTACTCTTTCCTGTATCAACTTTAGAGTTTGGGTCTGATATTAAGATCCTTGATCCATTTTGAGTTAATATTGGTATAGGGTGATATACATGGATCTAGTTTCAGTTTTTTGCAGACTGCTAACCAGTTTTCCCAGCAGTTTTTGTTGAAGAGGCTGTCTTTTCTCCATTGTGTATTTTTCATAGACAAGTTGGTTATAGTTGTGTGGCTTCATATCTGGGTCCTCTATTCTGTTCCGCTGGTCTTCATGTCTGACTTGTGCCAGTACCATGCTGTTTTTATTGTTATTCCTTTGTAATATAGTTTGAAGACGGGTATCATGATACCTCCAGCATTGTTCTTTTGACTGAGTATTGCCTTGGCTATTCGTGGCCTCTTGTGTTTCCATATAAATTTAATGGTAGATTTTTCAATCTCTTTAATGAATGTCATTGGGATTTTGATGGGAATTGCATTAAACATGTAGATTACTTTTGGGAGTATAAACATTTTTACTATGTTGATTCTACGAATCCATGAGTATGGGAGATCTCTACACTTTCTATAGTCTTCCTCAATCTCCTTCTTCAGAAGTTTATAGTTGTCCTTGTAGAGGTCGTATCTTTTGTTAGGTTTACAACTAGGTATTTAATTTTTTTTGAGGCTATTGTAAATGGAATTGCTTTCATATATTCTTTCTCAGTTCATTATTAGTGTATAGAAATGCTAATGATTTTTCTATTTTGATTTTATATCCTGCTACCTTGCTATAGCTAATGAGTAGAGTTTTTGCTATAGCTTTTGAGTAGAGTTTTTTGGGTCTTTAAGGTATAGGATCATGTCTTCTGCAAATAGGGATATTTTGACAGTTTCTTTACCTATTCATATTCCTTTTATTCCTTCTTCTTGCCTAAATGCTCTGGCTAGGAGTTACAGTACAATGCTGAATAAAGAGTGGAGATAGTGGGCATCCTTGTCTAGTTCCTGATTTTAGAGGGAATGGTTTCAGTTTTTCTCCATTTAAGTATAATGCTGGCTGTAGGTTTGTCATATATAGCTTTTATAATGTTGAGGTACTTTACTTCTGTTCCTAGTTTTCTTAGAGCTTTTATCATGAAATGGTGTTGGATCTTATCAAAGGCTTTTTCTGCATCTATTGAGATGATCACGTGGTTTTTGTCTTGGCTTCTGTTAATGTGGTTTGTTATGTTTATTGATTTTCGTATGTTGAACCACCCATGCATTCCTGGGATGAAGCCTATTTGGTCGTGGTAAGTGATCTTTTTGATGTGTTGTTGAATTCGGTTTGCCATTATTTTGTTGAGGATTTTTGCATCAATGTTCATTAAGGAGATTGGCATATAGTTCTCCTTTTTGGAAGTGTCTTTGCCTGGTTTTGGGATAAGTGTAATACTGGCTTCATAAAATGTGGTAGGCAGTTTTCCTTCCCTTTCTATTTCGTGGAACAGTTTAAGGAGGGTTGGTATCACTTCTTCTTTAAAGGTCTGATAGAATTCAGCAGAGAATCCATCCAGTCCTGGACTTTTCTTTTTGGGGAGACTCTTGATTACTACTTCAATTTCATTTTGTGTTATAGATCTATTCAGGTGATTAAGTTTTGGATGATCATATGTATCTAGAAATCTGTGCATTTCTTTAAAATTTTCGAATTTGTTTGAATAAAGGTTCTTGAAGTAGTCTCTGATGATTTCCTGGACTTTGATGGTGTTTGTTGTTACCTCCCCTTTTGCATTCCTCATTCTACTAATTTGGTTTTTTTTCTCTCCTCATTTTAGTCAGGTTTGTCAGGGGTCTGTCAATCTTGTTTATTTTTTCAGAGAACCAACTTTTTGTTTCATTAATTCCTTGTATGGTTTTTTTGGTTTCTATTTCATTCATTTCAGCTCTTATTTTTATTATTTCCTCCTTCTATTTGTTTTGGGATTTGCTTGTTCTTGTTTTTCTAGGAGTTTGAGATGTATCATTAGGTCATTGATTTGGGATCTTTCAGTCTTTTTAATGTATGCATTCATGGCTATGAACTTTCTTCTCAGGACTGCCTTTGCTGTGTCCCATAGGTTCTGGTAGGTTGTGTTTTCATTTTCATTGACTTCCAGGAACGTTTTAAGTTCCTCTTTTATTTCATCAATGACCCGTTGTTCATTAAGTAACGAGTTATTCAGTTTCCAGCTGTTTGCATGTTTTTTGTCTTTACTTTTGTTGTTGAGTTCTAGTTTTATTGCATTGTGATCAGACAGAATGCATGGTATAATTTCTGTTTTCTTATATTTGCTGAGGCTTGCTTTGTGCCCTAGGATATGATCTATTTTGGAGAAGGTTCCATGGGCTGCTGAGAGAATGTATATTGTGTAGAAGTTGGATGAATTGTTCTGTAGACATCATGTAGGTCCATTTTATCTATTTTATATTTTAGATCTAGGATTTCTTTATTGATTTTTTGTTTGGATGACCTATCTGTTGATAATAATGGGGTGTTAAAGTCTCTTACAACCTCTGTGTTGGAGTTAATACATGCTTTTAGGTCCTTCAGGGTATATTTGATGAAATTGGGTGCGTTGACATTGGGTGCATATAGATTGATAATTGTTATTTCCTTTTGGTCTATTTCCCCTTTCATTAGTATGGAATGTCCTTCTTCATCTCATTTGATCAATTTAGGTTTGAAGTCTACTTTGTCAGAGATAAGTATTGCTACTCCTGCCTGTTTTCGGGGGCCATTGGCTTGGTAAATCTTCTTCCAGCCTTTCATCCTAAGTCTATGCTTATTTCTTTCGGTGAGATGGGTCTTATGTAAGCAACAAATTGTTGGATCTTACTTTTTAATTCAGTTTGTCAAACGGTGCTTTTGATGGAATTAAGTCTGTTAACATTAAGTGTTAGTACTGATAGGTATGTGGTGATGCCTGTCATTTAGTTGTCTTAATTGTTTGAAGGTTTGATTGTGTGTACCTAAGTTGAGGTTACTCTCTACTTTCTTGCTTTTTCTTTTCCTGTTGTTTGGTGCTGCCTGCCCTTTCATGGTTATGTTGGGTTTCACTTTCTATGTGCAGAATCCCTTGAAGAATCTTTTGTAGTGGTGGCTTTGTGGTCACATATTGTTTTAGTTTCTGCTTATCATGGAAGACTTTTATTGCTTCATCTATTTTGAATGATAATTTGGTGGGTAGAATATCCTGGCATTGAAGTTATTTTCGTTCAGTGCCCGGAAGATCTCACCCCAAGCTCTTCTTGCTTTTAATGTTTCTGTTGAGAAGTCTGCTATAATTTTGATGGGTTTACCTTTGTATGTTATTTGTTTTTTCTCTCTTTCAGCCTTCAGTATTCTTTCTCAGGTCTCTGTTTTTGTTGTTTTAATGATAATATGCCGTTGGGTAGATCTATTTTGGTCTGGTCTGTTTGGTGTTCTGGAGGCCTCTTGCAAACGTATGGGAATAGATTTCTCTAGATTTCAGAAATTTTCCGTTATTATTTTGTTGAATATATTACGCATTCCCTTTGCTTGCACCTCTTCTCCTTCTTCAATGCCCATGATTCTCAGGTTTGGTCTTTTGATGGAGTCAGTGAGTTCTTGCATTTTCTTTTCACAGGTCTTGAGTTGTTTAACTAATAGTTCTTCAGTTTTTCCTTTAATTACCATTTCATCTTCGAGTTCTGAGATTCTGTCTTCTGCTTGTTCTATTCTGCTGGATTGGCCTTCCATTTTCTTTTGCAATTCTGTTTCGTTCTTTTTTCTGAGGTTTTCCATATCCTGAGTCGTTTCCTTTTTAATGTTGTCTATTTTTGTCCTGAGTTCATTTATCTCTTTATTAATCATGTTCTTTGTTTCACTTTGGTGTTTATACAGTGCTTCTATGGTTTCTTTTATTTCTCTTTTTGCTTTTTCAAATTCTCTATTTTTGTTGTCTTGGAATTTCTTGAGTGTCTCCTGTATATTTTGGTTGACCATATCCAGTATCATCTCTATAAAATTCTCATTGAGTACCTGTAGTATTTCTTCTTCTAGATTATTCTTGTGGGCTTCTTTGGGTTCTTTGGCATAGTTTACTTCATTTTGTTGGAGTCTGGATCTGAGTATCTGTTTTCTTCATTCCCCTCTGGTTCCTGTAGTAATTTTTTGCTGTGGGGAAACTGGTTTCCCTGTTTTTTCTGTGTTCCCGTCATTGCCCTTGGTGTTGTTATTGTCCCTGTACTGAGTGCAATTAAGTATTTTCTAGCTTGTAATAAAAACACTGATGATATTTAGAATGGAAGGGTGAGAGGAGATGGAAAGCAAAGAAGTTAAAGAAAAAGGGAAAAACAAGTACAAAAAAAGAAAAGAAAAACAAAAAACTTTCAAAGATATAAACAGAGATAGTGTACTAATCAATAGTAAGCTGAACAGGCATTAGAGAGACAGAGGATTGAAAATAAAAAATTTTAAAAAATTAAAAATGAGAAAAAAAAATTAAAAAAAACTATAAAAAAATCTCCAAGTTCAAATGCAATAAAGTTTCAGTCTTAATAAATTTGGTGTTGGTCCTTCAGCCTCCAGTCCTGCAGATGGTGTCTCAGAAGTAGTTCTGTCCTTGTCTCATCAAAGGGGGAAAAAAACTAAAAAAAACCAAAACAGCACAAAACAAAAAAAAAACCTCCACAAAGTGTCCCAAGTTCAAGTGCAATACAATTTCAGTAAGTTTTTCAGCATGCAGGTGTAGTTCAGTTGTTGTCTCATCAAAAGTAGGGAGAGAAAAAAAGAGTCTGGAGACAGGTCTGTGAAAGGCTATCTGAGGCTGTGATTCGTCTGCCCGCTGCTGTCAGCCTGCTGTTGCTGGAGGCGTTATTTATGCAGATCTCAGGAGTGAGCTTAACACTCACCTAGCCCCTCAGGCTTTGTTTACTTAGAGTTCTCTGCCACTGCTGCATGCTTTCCCCTTTCTAAGCACACTGGGGGAGGTGACACTGCACCCGCTTTCTCAGGCTGTCTGTTTATTTACAGTTCACTGGGAAGTGGGTCTTCCCCCCTCTCCTGTGGAGTTTTCCTCCCACCGCCACTTTTATAAGCTTTTCCGCTCCTGGTTGTTGGGCGTGTGCCACCATTCCTGCCTTCTCTGGCCAGCTTGTTTATTTACAATTCTGTGAGGGATTGCCCCTCCCCCCCTCTCTGGATGCTCAGGATGCCCCACCCTCTTTGCTATGTGTCTTTTTTGTTATTGCTTATTATTCAGTTTCTCCTTTTCCCTGGGTGGGGGTCGGTCTGTCCAGGGGGCTATGCTGATCTGGTCCAGGTTTGTCTCTGGCAGTACCGCATGCCCCTTAGCTCACCTTGTGGTCTGCATCTTCCCACGTGGTCTGGGCGCTGGTGTCTTGCAGTGCGGGAGCCCTCCTGGTTTCTCCATTTTATGTGAAGTGGAGGTGCTATGTGTCGGCTGGGGGTGTGGAGGAGTCAAAGTTTTGCCTCTTCTCGGTGGTTTTTCCTGTAATGTATGTCTCCAGCATCTCTCCAAGATTTTACTTTAGGAAGCATGCTTTCTGCTTCCTCTCTCTAGCCACCATCTTGGAATCCAATGGCAACTTTGATGATAGCAATTTGGATAGGGATGAGAGCAGAAACCAGGTGGCGATATTACTGTTTTATAAGTGAACTACAACTGGTCATAAACTATTACATTTTGATGATTTGGGAAAGTCACATGCATTAACCATTAGATTATTTTGACAATTAGTGTTTTCATTTGACATTATTGGTGGCTGAATCCAAATCACATAGAGACATCAAAATATGGATATACTTTTATTATTCCACAGGAAATTCAAATTAAACTTATTTTCCATCTTTGAGAGTATTTTGAGCTGGTGGTGTTGTACTAGTGATAGAGCATCTGCCTGGCACGTGGGAGGCAGTTCAAACGTCAGTACTGCCAAAAATAAAAAAAAGTGTTTTGACCAAATTGTTATTATTTAGCTGCATCTGCCTTAAAACATATTTAGTGCGTATGACCATGTTGATTTTTTTTCAAGATTGATGTACTTCAAGCTGAAGTGGCTGCATTAAAGACACTCGTATTGTCCAGTTCTCCAACATCACCTACACAAGAACCTCTGCCAGGTGTAAAGACACCTTTTAAAAAGGGGCATTCAAGAAATAAAAGTACAAGCAGTGCTATGAGTGGCAGTCACCAGGACCTCAGTGTGATACAGCCAATTGTAAAAGACTGCAAAGAGGTAACTCGTCAAGGACTGTCTCCTCTGACTCTGTTGATACTTGTTAGTTTTCATCACTGAGGTGTCAGTTAAGATTTTTTGCAGCAAAAATTTTAGCACAAAATATGCAGTTTTAAGATGGGGGAGGCTTTATCTAGAGCTGGCTCCTTTCAGGGATTCTTCACTTCCATTCTCTGCCTGGCTGACCTTGGAGTACCTGCTGGAAATTTGGTAAGTTTCTTAAGCTCAATTTTTCATTTAGGGAACAAATTGTTATATGTTGTATAAGGGAGAGTGGGGGGCTTTAATGTCCTGTGTCATCAAAATGTATTGCTAGAATATGGTAATAAAACATGAACATAATATGTGAAAATAGGTGGATTTTGATTGAATTTCAGGAAGAGCAAAATTTTATATTTTTAAGGAAATTCCAGAGTTAGTTCATTTATTAAGCAACACAAAATAGAAATAATGGTAGCTTTACATTTTAGAAGATGTGTTATAAAGATAACTGAAGTAATGTATAAATATTTTGGGAGCTTAGCATAAAAATTGTATAACCATAAAATGTTTTAAATTTTATGATTACACAGTCCAGAAAAGCATTTCCAAGGAGATTGGTCAGTAATTCATGGAGCACCATTCCTCTGTTTTTTCTTAAAAGATATAGTTTACATTGTTGAATTCAAGCCTGTCATTAATCTTGAAGAAAAAGCTATTTGTGTTTATTTAGTTAAATTTTTGCACGGAAGCTGGGAATTTATTAAATTGAATGATAAGAGTTATTAACTGTTTAATCAATTTCCATTTCATTCAGTTATTAATAAAAAAGATGCTAACTAGAAAGAAGTTCAGTACTTACTAAAATCTGAATGTGTCAAAATCTAAAATTCACTTCGTTTTTAGTAAATGTTTAAGAAACTTTTTTAGTCAATGTTAATTCTGATTTCTTTGAAGGTAAGATTTTAACTTCTTGTACAACTAGTATTTTTGGTACAGTTTCTCATTCAGTAGGTGCAATTTTGTACATTTTCCTCCTGTTGTTTACATTAAAAAACATATTTTCTAATGGTACATTTTTTAAAACTTGGTTATGGTTTTTGAAATCCCTTATAATATGAATAGGCAGCATATTTACAGTTTTTTGTTTTGCTTTCTTGTGATATTTAGTGAAAAGTCAGAAGTTTTATTAGAAAAAGGAAACACAAAAAGTTTGACCCATGTAAGTCTTAGAACACTTTATAATAATCTGAAAGAAAATGAAATATGTCTTTTGAAGAAAATGTGACAGGACAACTGTCATGATATTAGCAACATTTTTTTTTAATTAGTACATACTAATTGTACAAAGTGGCTTCATTGTGACATTTCCATACATGCATTTAATGTACTTTGATTGAATTCACCCCCTCTATTGCTGTTTCTTGTACCTCTGAACTTTTTAAATTAATTCTTAAAGAGTTTCATTATTCTATTGTCATACATGTATATAAAGTACTTCTATCATAATCACCTCTCCATCACCCTCTCCCTCTCTCCTTTCATCCTTCCCTTTCCCACTGGTTCCCCTCTGAAAATAGTCCCTATTTTACACTCAAGTCATTCCTTTTTTTTTTTTTTTTTTTTGGTCTATGAATATGAAAGAAAACACGCCTTTTTGGTCTGGTTTATTTCACTTAACATGATACCACTTCTATCTATTGTACTGCCAATGACATAATTTCATTCTTTATGGGTAAATGATGCTCCATTGTAAGTATAACACATTGTCCTTATCCATTCTTCAATTGAGGAGGACTTACGCTGGTTGCCTACCTTGGCTATTATAAATAGTGCTGCTATAAACTTGGTGTACAGCATGCTTACATTCCTTTGATAATGTCCAAGAGTGGTATAGCAGAATCATATGGTAGTTTTGTTTTTAATATTTTGAGGAACCTCCATATTGATTTCCACAGTGGCTACACTAATTTATATTCCCACGAACAGTGTATAAGGGTTCCTCCACTCCCCACCATCCTCACCAGCATTTGTTGTTGCTTGTTTTCTTGATGATAGTCATTCTAACAGGAATGAGGTGGAATCTTAACATGATTTTGATTTGCATTTCCTTTGTGGCTAAGGACACTGAACATTTCTTCTTGTTAGATATTTGTAGTTATTCTTTTGGGTACTCTCTGTTTAATGCAATTGCTCATTTATTAATTGGATTCTTTGTTCTTTTGGTGTTTAATTTTTAGAGATCTTTATATATTCTGTATACTAACCTTTCTCTGATGAATAGCTGGCAAAGATTTTCTCCCATTCTGTAGGTTGTCTCTTGATTGTTTTTTAATTGTTTCCTTTGCTGTGCAGAAACTTCGTAATTTGATGCAATCCCATTTGTTGATTTTACTTCCTGAGCAATTGGACTCCTGTTCAGAAAAGTTGTTTATGCCTAGGGTTTTTGCCTAATAGGTTCAAAGTTTCAGGTCTTACATTAAGATCTTTGATCCATTTTGAAGTGAATTTTGTACAGGGTGAGAACTTAATTTCAGTCTTCTATATGTGACTGTATCCAGTATTTCCAACACCATTTATTGAAGAGCCTGTCTTTTTTCTAGTGTATGTTTTTGGCTCCTTTGTCGAACATCAAATGGCTGTAGCTATTGTGGGCTTATTTCTGGATCTTCAATTTTGTTCCATTGGTGTGTTTGTTTTTGTGCCAGTACCATGCTGTTTTGTTACTATGGATGGTTCTGCTATATAATTTGAAATCACGTATTAACCTCTAGGATTGTTGGTTTTTTGCTTAGGATTTCTGTGTCTAGTCTGGGTCTTTTGTGTGCTTCATGATGAATTTTAGGATTGATTTTTCTATTTCTGTGAAATATGACCTTGGGATTTTATGGGGATTTCATTGTTTGTAGATTGCTTTTTGGTAGTATAGCCATTTTCACAATATTAATTCTGCCAATCCATGAACATGGGAGTTTTTACATCTTTTATTGTCTTCACGTTTTTTCTTCAGAGTTTTATAGTTTTCTTCATAGATGTTTTTTATGTCCTTAGGTTTATTCATGGGTATTTAATTTTGGGGGGATTTTATGAATGGGATTGTTACCCTGATTTCTTTCTCAGTCTGTTTGTTGTTGTTATATTGAAAAGCTGCTGATTTTTGTATCTTGATTTTTGGAGCCTGCTATTTGGTGAACTGTTTATCATCAGTTCTAAGAGTTTTTTGGTGGATCTTTAGGGTCCCTTTAGGATAAGTTCATATCTTCTATAAGTAGGAATAATTTGACTTATTTTCCTATTTGTATCCCTTTCATTTCTTTCTCTTGCATTTTTGCTCTAAGAATTCAAGCACTACATTGAATAAAAGTTGAGAGAGTGGAACCTTTGTCTTGTTCCTGACTTTAAGAGGAAATAGTTTAGATATTTATCCCATTTAGTGTAATGTTGGCTATAGATCTATCATATATGTCCTTTACTATGTTGAAGTATATTCCTTCTATTTCTAGTTTCTTCAGGGCTTTTATCATATAGGGATATTAAATTTTGTCAGAGGCCTTTTCTGCATCTATCGAGATGACCATCTGGTTTTTCTACCTTATTCTGTTTGTGTGCTGAATTATGTTTATTGATTTACATTTATTGAGCCATGCTTGCATCCCTAGATTGAAACCAACTCCATCATGGTGTATGATCTTTTTATTGTGTTGTTGAATTTGACTTGCCAAGTATTTTGTAGAAAAATTTTACATATATGTTCATCAAGGAAATTAGTCTACAATTTCTTCTTGTGTCCTTATCCACTTTTAGATTAGTTTAGTCATAGCTCCTTCCCTTTCTACTTTCTGAAATAGTTTGAGGCGCATTCATGTTAGTTCTTTTTTAATGGTCTGGTAGAATTCAGCAGTGAATCTATCTGTTCTTGGAGTTTTCTTTGTGGGAGACTATTACTGCTTCAATTTCATTCTTTGCTGTAGAAATGTTGTCATGTTTTATATCTCTTGATTCAATTTTGGTAGGTGATATGCATCTAGAAATTTGTTCATTTCTTCCAGATTTTCCAATTTATTAGAATACAGGTTTTCAAAGTATTTCCTAATGATCCTCTGAATTCCACTGGTATTTGTCATAATACCCCTTTCTTATCTTTAATTTTGTTAATTGGGTCTTTTCCCTCTTTTGGTTAGTTTGCGTAGGGGCTGTCAATCTTGTGTATCCTTTCAAACAGCGTATCTTCTGTTAGCATTTAAAACACACTTGTTTACAGACATATGCAGTGCAAGGCTTTGGGATCAAGACACTTAGATCTGAATTTGGACATTACTGCTTTCTTGCTATGTAACTTTGGGAAAGTAACTTTATCTCTTTAAGCCCTCGCTTCCTCATCTATAAAATGGGGATCATCCTATGTGCCTTGTGCAGCTCAGAAAGTTAAATGTTTTATAAGTGCTTACCATAGTTTTTGCAAGAGTCTGCTTTTAAGAAATGATTTGTTTTCTTTAAACTAGAATCTTTCCTTAGAATACCACTTATCTGTTCAGGGGCTTATGTCCATTTTCTTAGTAAACTTTACAAAGAAAATAAATTTGAAAAATGTTAAGTATTATTTGTCTATTAATATACTTTATCCTTTACCATTATCTTTGATTCAAGGAATTTATGAATTGGGAAAAAAAATTCATATTGTGATTGCTGTTATATTTTGAAAAGAAAGTCTGTAGGCAACCTTGAATGCGTTTTGTTACTTTGATGTAGACTACCTGCACCTTTGATTGTGCTATCCTATATGCTGGTCACAGCTCTGGTCAGTGCATTGTTCATAGTGTACTCAGTATATCTAGACAACAGTGACTATGAGCTTTGTGAAGATGGAGGCAGCTCTGCATTTGAGTTGCTAGTGTAGATGCAGCTTTGTGTATTGAGCTAGATAGGCTGGGGTGGGGGGAATCTAAGATACTGTGTAGGAAGAGGATTTGGGGAATATTTATTACAGGTAGAAGGGAAAGAGGAGGAGCAACTGGTGGAGTGATTGGGAAGGTGAGTACCAGCAGTAGATTATTGGATAATTGAGATGGTAGTTAACTGAAATTATTGAAATAAATATTACATTTTTAAAGTAGTTAATTTAGTAAGCTGTATTTATGCTTCTTTTTTTCTTACTGCTTATACAGTAAACATTTTGGTAATTTTAGGAATGTCTTCAGGTAATAGCAGAACAATTAGTGTCATTTTGACCCCAAACCAAATTTTATAATTTAGTCTACGTTTATTCAAACACTTGGCATAATTAAGTTGGCTTCAAATTGCTATTTGATTATTTTCAGAAAAGATTTGTCATTATCAGTTTTTATATTTAGGGCAGAATGCATCTGTGTCCTAAGAGTAGCTCCAACATTAATTTGTGGGGGTCATGGAATAAGGATAATGGTAACATCATTGAGCACCATAAATATGGTGGATACATTGAGAAGGATCAGTCATGTGAAAGTCATTTTTTAAAAGAAAAATTACTGCTATGTACTATAAATAACCAGGAACAATTTAATTCATCATTTAAAATGAGCATTTCTTTTCAGTGATATTCAAATTAGGATTTGGTTTCATCTAGTGGTTTTATGTTCATTCCTTTTAAAAAGTTGTTTTGTGTTTCCTTGTGGTTTATTAGGCTGATTTATCTCTGTATAATGAATTCAGATCTTGGAAGGATGAGCCCACAATGGACAGAACATGTCCTTTCTTAGACAAAATCTATCAGGAAGATATCTTTCCATGTTTAACATTCTCAAAAAGTGAGGTAATTTTATTTTTCATTTTAATAGCAATGCATTAGAATTGTGTTTGTACTTTGTGCTTAGGTCATGTTACATATTTTAATATCTTTTACCCTAAATTATAAAATGTTATGTTTTGCCATTTTCTGAATTTCATATTTGAATAATTGTTGCCATTCGGTTACTGAACACCTTTTCCTATTTGAGCAGAGAATTATTCACACTAAAATGTGTACTCTGTTGGAGTGAAGCATAAATATGTATGGGGAGGAGGGCTTATTTCTTGTCTGGGGAGGGGATGGTTGGTGGGGCTGGGGCTTGAATTCAGTGCTTACACTTACAAAGCAGATGCTCTACTATTTGAGGAATACTTCCAGTCCAAGGAGGAATTATTTCTTGATTCTTGTAGGTTCTGTTTACGGGAAGTTCTTGATATACTCTGTGTTTGTTCCATGTGTCTCTCTGCAATTTTAAACATACTTAAGGAACTAGAGATGTGGCACAGTGATAGAGTGTTTGTCTCGTATGCAAGAGGCCCTGGATTCAATCCCTATCACCACAAAACAAAAGACAAAACCACAAAAAGGACATAATTTTTTTTTCATCTTTAAAACAGGGAAAATAATGCCTATGTTTCAGAGTTGTTAAGAGGGAAAAATGAAGTAAGTGGAGTAGGTAGACAGAAACTTAGGCACTATGCAAATGTAAAGTCATGTTTCTCATTGTATGTGAAGGTTTGTCTCCAAATATCTTGTCAATTAATGTTTAAGAAATTTAATCCAAAAGTCTTATGTATGGTTTATGAGGATTTAGTTTTAACATTCCTTGTTAGGAGAATTGAAGATGAACAGTGTAACACTTTGATATGAATATGTGTTGTTCATTGTGGTCTGTAGCTGGTTTCAGGTAGGTGATCCAGTGTTAGTAATTTCACTAAACTAAAGTTTCCTTTTCTTATCTGCCATTTATCAGTTGCTACCCTCTGTATCTGGAGACTTTATATCTTATTTTAAAAATTCAGTTACTTTTTTGTAGACTCTTGTGCATATAAATACAAGTTGAGAAAATATATAGCTATAATTAGTATATCTAGCTGTGTTGTTAGATGACCAATGTTTATTGCACAAATTTAGCAGAATAAAGCATTAGGGTAGTCATTTTGAAGTGGCATTTACAGTAGATGTTAATTGTGGGTAAGGAATGGACAGAGACTGGAACTACTAATACCTTTAATCCTTTTCCAGGTAATGAGAAAAGTTACTTTATTATAATTGCCTTTCATAACAGTATTTGAATTATAAAAGAAATTAAATCAAGATTACATGATTTCTTTCCTTTGTATAGGCAAAGGCCGAGTTAGTGAAACTTGGAGAAACAATAATTTATGAAATTGGTTTATTATAGAAATAAAATTTTGATATTTTTCTGCCACCATAGCATCTAATACTTTCATATTTTTAAAGTTGGCTTCAGCAGTTCTGGAAGCTGTGGAAAACAACACTCTAAGCATTGAACCAGTGGGATTACAACCTATTCGATTTGTGAAAGCTTCTGCAGTCGAATGTGGAGGACCAAAGTAAGTTTTCGCATCTGTGACTTGTGGAACATAATAGGTTTTAAAATTTTATATGTTTACAGCTTTCATTTATTTTTTGTTGTATTAATGTGATTAATTCTCTTTGGGTTTCTACTTAGAGTCTGCAGCCCAAAGGCAGTGTGAGATACAGCATTTCAAATTTATCATCATAGGAAAGCCCTTTTAATTACAAAAATATACATATGTGATGGAGATCCAGGTGGACTAAAGAGTAGAAACATGTTTTTGTTATTATTTTAATTCCATGTTATGACCCATTAGTGGATTGTGAGATCATTTTAGTAATTTATGGGAAGAATTTTTGTTTCTCTTACATATGTGTATAGCTGTGTGCACTGGGTATCTTTGAAAGGTATTCTGAAGGTTACCATCAAAAATAGTTCGAAGAGACAGTTAGACTAGGTTTTATCAAGCATGAAAATATGGTGCCAAGCCAGGCACCGGTGGCTCATGCCTGTAATCCTAGCTACTCAGGAGGTAGAGATCAGGAGGATCGCAGTTTGAAACCAGCCCAGGCAAATAATTCGTGAGACCCTATCTTGAAAAACACTTCACAAAAATAGGGCTGGCAGAGTGGCTCAAGGTGAAGGTCCTCAGTTCAAGCCCCAGTACCGCAAAAAAAGAAAGGAAAGAAAGAAAACAGGGTGCCAAAAAGACTTGATTAGTTCTCACTTTTCATACTGTTATTATAAAGAATTCTCAGTTGGTAACTAATCAGTTCTATTTTCCATATGTGAGAAGTATTTAGGAATTATATATGTTTGGTGATAAGACAGCCATATTTCATAGTAGGGCAGGCTTTTCCCATCCAGTCAATGGGGAGGAAAGCTTAAAACAGTACCTAAACCTCTGGCAAAAGATAAAGGTTTTGCCTAAAAGCATGGCATAATTGAGCCTTGGCTGCAATTTAAAAATGACTTGAAAAACTTTTAAGGAAACTGCTTAATTAGTGGTTAAGAAGCCAATCAATGTGGGAGACTTGGGAGACTCTGAAAGTCCCAAGAGCTCACAGAAAGCAATAACTGACTCCTGTCCAGGTTTTTGTGATGTCAGAAGACATTCAGTTGAGATGAGCTAATAAGTCTTCCATTAAAGCCTATTGTGGGAGTTGTACAGTTCTGTTTCTCATGGTAAATGTACATTCTCAGGAAGATTACAGAATGTTGTTATAATTACTTCTATGTTTGCTTTGTGAGCCACACATCCATCCAGACCTGTATCCTGTGTTGCACTCTCCCTGTGATGTAGCTGTGGCACAGTGGCCTCTGGATTTTAGGGAAAGGTTTTACATTTTTAAATTCTCTAAACACCCAAATATTTTTATCTTGGTCCTTCACCCCCCCCAATGGAGAATCAAATGTAATGATAGCAGTTTTAGTACTTTAAAGTCTATGTCTTACTTTATTTTAAATTTCATACGTAAATTTTTATTATAGAATTTGAATTTGTGCTTGAATTATATATTACTTGTCCTATATATGTGCAGATATCAAATGATGACAAATGGGGATGTCAGCTAACGTGGATTTGCGGTATTTTAGTAAAATGATTACATAGGTTAGATTTAGAGAACAATTTACATAGTTTTAGGGTACTGTGCTTATGTGTATGGGGTCAGAACTCAGTGTTTGTAGTATGTATTGTGTGAAAAACTGAAGGGTTAGTTATCATTAAAAAAAAAAAAAGAAATGTAAAATATGGCCCTGGAATTGACCAGTGCTACAGGAATTTTGAGGATGACAAGATCATTCCATTTGTGATTAGGGGCTGTTCTTGGAGGGAGGGAGATTTGATCTAGATGTTTGAAGTATGGGTGGAATTTGAATAAAGAACAGTTGGTATGACTCTGAGGGCCTAGAAACAAGGAAACAGGGTGCTCATACAGAGGATGGTTGAGTGTATGGAGAAGAAAAGAGAGATGTGATAAATCTTAAGTTGGGGGTTGGGGCCTGAGAAAGGAGTTAGAGATGACTGAGTAGAATGATTTGAAGTAATTTTAGAAATTGGTAGGAAAGGCTCTGGCTTGTAGAAGATTATGGGTCTGGATTTAAACATGTTGATATCTCTGAGTGAAAGTGGCAAGGATTGAAGCCTTGTGACTAGAGCTGTGAAGAGATACTAAGGTAGTGTAACATGTTTAAAAAAATAGAAAGTGGAGTCAGAAGACTTAGAATTACATTCTGACTCAAAAATATTTTGACTGCATACAAATGGCTTTAGAAGCAGGGTGCTAGTAGCTCACAGCTGTAATCCTAGCTACTCAGAAGGCAGAGATCAGGAGGATTGCGGTTCGAAGCCAGCCTGTGCAAATAGTTCACAGGATTCTGTCTCGGAAAACCTTACACACACAAAAAAAAATGGGCTGGTGGAGTGGTTAAAAAAAAAAAAAAGGCTTTAGAAATGGTGTCATTAAAGAAACACTTTTATGGGACTGAAGGCATGCCTCAAGCAGTAGAGTGCCTGCTTTGCAAGAGTGAAGCTCTTAGTTCAAACCCCAGTCCCACCAAAAAAAAAACCAAAAAAACAAAAAACCACCACCAAAACACTTCTAGTATTTTAAAGATTGACTTTGAAGGTGGCTATACAAATCAAAAACCAATTCTTATCTTCTCAAAGAGATTTTGCCTCATTATTCCTTTATTAGCAAATTGCTGTAACAATATTTAAGAGTACTAACTTCTAGCTTAGGGAAGATAAAAGTCTTTAAGCTTAAGGTTCAAGTGTTTAAAGTCCTTGAAAATTCCAAAACTGTGATCTACCCAAGACGAAAAAGTACCATTCAATTAATAAAAATCAATTTACACACTAGTCTTCTGGAAAAAGCAATATACTTGTTTGTGTATTGTCCAATTTTAAAAGGGCACTGCTAACATGGTTTTAAGTATCAATTTTTAAAACAATAAAATGTTTTTGTTTTTTTTTTTTTTTGGTGGGAGTGGTGGGGTTTGAACTAAGAGCTTCACTCTTGCAAAGCAGGCACTCTACTGCTTGAGGCATGCCTTCAGTCCCATAAAAGTGTTTCATGATAAAATTTCTAAAGCTTTTTTTTTGATGGTACTGGGCTTGAACTCAGGGCCTTCAACTTGAGTGAAGGGTTTTTCGAGATAGGATCTTGTGAACTAATTGCCCAGGCTGGCTTCAAACCGCAATCCTCCTGATCTCTGCCTCCTGAGTAGCTAGGATTACAGCTGTGAGCTACTGGCACCCTGCTTCTAAAGCTGTTTGTAATGCAGCCAGAGTCAAAATATTTTTGAGTCAGAATTTAATGCTGTCTTCTGACTCCACTTCTTTTTTTTTTTTTTTAAAAAACATGTTACACTACTTTAGTATCTCTTCACAGCTCTAGTTCCAAGCTTTCAAATAACATGTTATCCATGTGTTTTTTTAGTATGGAGTTGACATTTGTGTTGTATTTCTTTCTTGCAGGTATAGCTGAAATTTAATGTAGTTCATTTAAAATACTTTTCGTTGTTGTGTGATTTACAATGTCATAAAAATGTCAATTGTCACTTTACTTACAGCTGTGTTAATTTTGATTAACAAAGAGTAATAGTTACATTCACACTCATTCCTCGCTTATTTGAGTAACAGGTGGGCTGCTGTAAGCCCAGCCTGATAAGCCAGTTTTATCTCATGAAGCAACAGAGTGACAGGTGGCTCATCACTTATTCAACACTGAATGTCTGCTGTGAGCCAGCCAGCCACATGCTTGGTGCCAGGCTTTAGAGATGAATAAGACATAGTCCCTACCCTCAAAAGGTTTATAGCCCAATCCTAGCCAGAATTTCCTCATGCCAGATTATGGATTTCATAGTATACAAATAGAAAGGATGGTGTGATACAGTGCAGTGTACTCTTTATGTAAGTGTTAAGATTTGGTATGTTTATTAGATGGCTTCTTTCTATGTCCCTCACTAAATGCATATAAACCAACCAACCAAAGCATGCCACCTGGAAGCTATTACCCTGTGCACTATCAATAACACGTTTTAAGACTTAAACCTAATCATGATTAAGTTCTTTTTAGCTGAGAAGTTGAAATTCTGGTGGAGAGCTGAGTGCTGTCTTGTAGTTGATGCTCATTCATAAATTTGACACATATGGAAAACATCTAGCTTCTATTTCTAGAACCATGATTAGTGTTGTGTTATTAAGCTTATTCTAGAATATAAGTCTCACAAAGGCAGTGATTTTGTCCTTTTCATCACTATAGCCCAATGTCCAGAAAGTGTCTGTTACTTAGTAGGTTCCGCAATGTTATCTTAATGATTGAACACCTTATAACAGAGGGTGGGGGGGGCATGCTATTAACTTTTTTAAAAAATGAAATTTATTATTTTACAGAAAATGTGCACTTACTGGTCAGAGTAAGTCCTGTAAACACAGAATTAAACTAGGGGACTCAAGCAACTATTATTATATTTCTCCTTTTTGCAGATACAGGGTAAGTGACATTACCATAAATTTTAAGAAAGTTTGCTTTAATGTAAGACATTTTACCAGTCATGACTTTTTTCCCTTTTGTCCTAGATCACATCTGTATGTAACTTCTTTACATACATTCGATATATTCAGCAGGGACTTGTGAAACAGCAGGATGGTGAGTGCTCTTAATTCATTATAAATATTTACATGGAAGTCTAGCAAAAAGTATAGAATAAGCAATAATGCTCAAATAAACTTGACTGTTTCTGCATTTATATTGTATCCCTTTTATAGTTCTAATAAAATGTATGGATAATTTGGGAACAAATTTCTTTTGTGAAAATAATATATTTAATCCTTTTATTTGCTTATTTTACTCTTTTGAATTTTAAGCAGGACCAGTTTTAACTTGTAAGAGAAATGTGATAAATCAAATGGTAAATATGAGGAGAGTATGTATAAAGCTTACTGAATTTACTCCTTACAAGATGAAAATGAGCAGGCTCTAGAAGTGGTCAGATTTATTTTATTGATGGAAACCATAAAGAAGCCAAGAATAAATTTTCTAATTTCTGTGTTTTCTACTTCCACTTGTGAATTAATAAAGCAGTCATGAAATAATTCTGAATGGAATAAAGATGACCACATTCTAAATCAGCAGAAAAGTGCAGATGATGTATCCAGGCAAGCCAACTCATGCACGTGTGTTAACATTTTTAATATAGTCTTCCATGAATGCTGATGGTGTCTTAAATATGAAACATGAAAACTGACATGGCCTGACAGCTCCAAAGCAGTATTTCTTGAGTACATGTGATTGTTTCAAAACTGAAATAGCAGATGCTGGGTTACGGACAAATCTATGTCAGTTTTGTATTTCAAGTTATGGAAAGTTTACCTGTTTTATTTGTATAGATGCTGAAAATATTCTTGTGCTTAAAAACTACTAAAAGCTTATTTTTCAGTAACAGCTAGTGAATCTCAATTTTATTAGTTATACTGATAAAAACTTACTTTAGCATTTCTTAAGCTTTGGCTTGTTAAAATAAGCTGTATTTATTTGGAATCCCATTTGAGTTTTATTCCCTACCTGAATAGGGATTAAACCCATCTGTAGTTAATGTGGAATTTCTATGTAACATAAAAGTAGTCTTTAACTTGTATACTACTTCTAAAGACTTTAATAAAAGTGAAATATTTTTGACTGGTGGATAATATTGTTTAAACTGGAGAGCAGATGATTTATGTTAAGTTAAGTTGTCAAGCATTGTTTTCTGCTTGTTAAAATGAAAATTTGTAAGGAAGTCTGAAATATTTATTTTATGAAACTAGGAAGAGGTATCATGAGTGATGGTGATAAAAGTGTATCTTCTCTGGTTTCAGTCACTCTGCACTTCACATATCTGGTGCATATCATATACTCTGTATTTGTACATAGAGCTATTTGTACAAATAGAACTGTTTGTAAATAAGTATTTGTGTATAGAACTATTTGTAAATAAGTATTTTTAATTTTAAAATTTGATCATTTTCTGTGCCTTTTGCACTATAATAGTTAAGGGCACCTAAACCTAAGACAGTGTTTCTCAACCTTTGTACTAAAGTTTGAAAATCCCTAATTCAGAAATACAAAATGCTTCAAAATGTGAAACTTCTTTGGCACAGACATGATGCCACAAGTGGAAAATGACGTACGTGACCTCATGTTATGAGTCACAGTGAGATTAAGGCACATTAAAAATACTGCCTTTTGGTTTATATGAAACAAACAAATTTGTGTTTTGACTGGGGTCTCTTTCTCAAGATATCTCATTATGTATATGCAAATATTCCAAAATAAAGAATCCAAACCCAGGTTCCAAGCCTTTTAGTAAGGGGTACTCAACTTTGAGTTAGACAATTCTTTGTTGTGTGTGGGCGGGGAGGGTGTCTTGTGCATTGTAGTGTATTTAACAAAGTCCCTGGCCTCTATTTACTAGAAGCTGGTAGCAACTCACCAATGAGACAGTGAAAAATATATCCAGATGTACCCTGGGGGCAAAAGTTCTCTGGTTGAGAGCTGCTGATGAATCAGTATAATCTGATCATAGACCTTTTAGTGTCTGAAATATAGAAATAGCTTTTTTCCATTTGCAATGGGAATTTACAAAAATATAGATAGTTGAAATGTCCAGATCATGTTCAACATTTATTTTTACTTCTAATTTGAGCCATAAATAAAATGTTTCCCTGTTACTACAAAGAATGTTACTGAGTTTTCTGGAATCTCTTGTTTTTCTTTTTTTCTGTTTGCTGTCTGTTAGTGTTACTGAAGAGTAAAATGGCCAAGATAGAGCATATTAAAGCAAGAAGATGCATAGTTGTAGAATAATTTTTGAATAATTGAACATTGAATATTGAAGGGGACAGAACTAACAACTCAGGACACTGAAATCCCTTTTCTTGGGCTAAAGTGATAGTCTTTAATATATCTGATAAATTGTGACAAAAATTAGTGAATTTTGCTTATTTATTGATAAAGCTGGGAGAGGTTTATGTGATACATTGAAAGAATTTCTAGGCATTAGGTACATCATTAAGAAATATGCCAGTTGGCACTAAAGCTAATCTTACATTTTCAGTGAGACATTAAAAATAATTAAGATGGTATGTTAAGATTTACATGTCTTTTCTGTTTGTGCAGTTGATCAGATGTTTTGGGAAGTTATGCAGTTGAGAAAAGAGATGTCATTGGCAAAACTGGGATATTTCAAAGAGGAACTCTGATGCTCTGCGTGGGACCATGCTTGAACATCCCTGAATATTTTTATGGTTACTCAATACTTATTTCCAAGGAGTGGGCCCAAGACTTTTCCCATCTTTTGCAAATTACACTAAGAAGTACTGTGATTTCATTTAAACTAACCTATGCTGTGTTGCCTCTTCTTTAGTTGAACACACTATAAAGAATTACAGGTGTACTAGTGATTGCAATTTATAATTCCAAAAAAACAACTAAATAAATCAGCGTTAGATTGAATGTGTCTGTTTCTCTTTTAGTTCTAACCTGGCCGTTAGAGTCAGACTATATTTAGTAGTTTTCACACTGCATAGCAACCTTGAAATACAAGAAGAAGGAATTGAGTGGACAGGATGCACCTCTATTTCTGTCTTATATATTGGGCTTCAAAGAAAGCTCTTATATGAATAAAGATTTTTGCTAAAAATTTGAACATTACCATTTTTGCAATTCTGCTCTCTGATTTAGACTCCTCTTACTATGGTGGTTTGTTAAAAATAATAGATAGGAGGAAACAGTCACACTTTATCCCAGAGGTGTATTCTTGAGCATCTTGATGTAAGTGCTCTTGGAGGTTTTTTTTAATGTATGTTCAGCACTATCTTAATTTGCCTTCGGTGATACAACAGGGTTTGTGTACTCAAGGAGGTTTGAAGGGTCATAGGCTGAAGGACTGGTATATGCAAAAGTGTACACGATCAGACAGCCACTTGGATCTGTAAGTTGAAATTTTAAAACTGACTTATGTGGAGAAACCATTTAAATTATTTATAAAGTTAAAAAGGTTCGTGATGGCCGGGCGCCAGTGGCTCACACCTGTAATCCTAGCTACTCAGGAAGCAGAGATCAGGAGGATTGAGGCTCAGAGCCAGCCCTACTAAATAGTTCATGAGACCTTATCTCAAAAAAACCCATCACAAAAAAGGCCTGGTAGAGTGACTCAAGGTGTAGGCCTTGAGGTCAAGTGCCAGTACCACAACAGAAAAAAAAGGTTCATGATGGAGTTACAGTATAGAAAGCAAAAAGACAAAATGAGAAACCATTTCATTCTATCTAGAGAATAGCTACTGTTAATACTTTAGGAGAATAGCCTTTAGCTTTCAAATGTTTTATATCTGATCAACCTCCTTGATTTTTATTTTTGAACTTAGAATATTTTCCATCAGTAGTAAATCTACACATTTTAATAACAGTATATTTATTACAGAATTTTAACATAATTAGTTGAAGTTCTCAATTTTTTTCCTATCACAGAGGTGTGGTGAGTCTTCTTATGTGTATCTCTTTGAACATTTTTGGGTTATTTCCTTCATATACATGCCTAGAAGTAAAATTGTTGGGCCAAAATATATATGTATTTTTAAATGTTTGGTCTGCATGGTTAAATTACCCCCTAGAAAATCTGAACCAATTTATGTTCACAGCAAGTGTATGAGAGATTTCTGAAGATGACTTTTTTTTTTTTAACACCTCTTCAGAGGTTTGGTCAATCTTAGTTACCTGTAGAAGACTCAGTCACCAGACTTTATGGAGTCTACACTCAAGGACATTTGATTTGAGCATGGTATGGTAGAAACCATCATTATCATGTCCAGCTCAGGAATCCAAAATGAAAACTTTGAGTCTAGAATTTTATGCCCAGATAAATTGTTCTAATATGAGAGCATAATAAAAAATATTCTCATAAAAGCCTTCAGGAAAATATTCCAAGAAAAGTCACAAAGACACTTGGAGAAATCAAAAGTGAGACTGAGGAAGAAAAAAAGGTAAAAATGATTAAGTAGAGAAAAACTGCAGCATGGAAATAAAAAGCTAGTATAAGATGAAGAGATAAACTTGCCAGTTTATCTTGTGAAAGATAGTTGAATTGGATTAAAATGTGTGATATTTATCCACAAAGCATAAGGCCATGGAAAAGTTGAAAATGAAAGAATGGAAAAAAGGCCAAGAAAATACCAGAAGAAAACTGAGATGGTTATACTGTTTTAGCAGACCAAACAGACATAAGGACAGAAAGCACTATTATAGAAGTGTGTTCTCCATATCATGAAAAAAAAACTAAATAATGAAAAAACACAAATTTTTAACGTAAAGGCTGCATAATAAGTTATAGGGTGCAGAGACGGTTACTTTTCAAAGGAAATTTTATAGCTTTTAAGTCCTTATTTACATTTTAAAATTATTTAAGTGTCCAATTAAAGAAGTTACAGAGTCTGGTCCCAGTAGTGAAGAGGCTGAGGTAGGAGGGTCAAAAGTTTGAGACCATCTGGTTACAGAGCCCTTGTCTCACCTAATCTTTGACAAACCTGCCAAAAACATATAATGGAGAAAAGACTGCCTCTTCAACAAATGTTGCTGGGAAAGTGGTTATCTGCCTGGAGAAAACTGAAACTAAATCTGTCACCCTGTACTAGTATCAAAGTGGATTAAAGACCTTAATATCAGACCCAAAACTCTGAAGTTATCACAGGAAAGAGCAGGGAATATTCTGGAAGCAGTGGGTATAGGCAAGGACTTCCTCAGTAGAACTCCAGCAGCCCAGCAGCTAAGAAAAAGGATGGACAAATGGGACTACATGAAATAAAAAGCTGCACAGCAAAAGAAATGGTCTCTAAATTGAAGAGACCACCCACAGAGTGGGAGACAATATTTGCTAGCTATACATCAAAGGACTGATATCCAGAATATACAGGGAGTTCAAAAAACTAAACTCCCCAACAATCAATGAACCTATAAAGAAGTGGGCAACTGAACTGAACAGAACTTTTTTCAAAGGAAGAAGTCCAAATGGCCAAAAAACACATGAAAAAATGCTCACCATCCCTGGCCATAAAGGAAATGCAAATCAAAACCACATTAAGATTCCACCTCACTCCTGTTAGAATAGCTATCATCAACAGCTCCACCACCAAGAAATGTTGGCGAGGATGCAGGGGGAAAAGGAACCTTCATACACTTCTGGCAGGAATGTAAACTAGTACAACCACTTTGGAAAACAATATGGAGGCTTCTTACAAAACTAAAGTTAGATCTTCCATACGATTCAGCAATACCACTCCTAGGGGTATACCTGAAGGAATGTGACTCAGGTTATTACAAAGACACCTGCATACCCATGTTTATTGCAGCAGTATTTATAATAGCCAAGCTATGGAAACAGCCAAGATGCCCCACTACTGGTGAATGGATTAAGAAAATGTGGTATTTATACACAATGGAATTTTATTCAGCCACAAAGAAGAATGAAATTTTGTCATTCACAAGTAAATGGAACTGGAGGACATCATCTTAAGTGAAGTTAGCCAGACTCAGAAGGCCAAAAACCGTGTTCTCCCTCCTATGCGGATTATAGATCTAAAACAAATGCAGTAATACTGGACATGGGTCACATACTATGGAGAGAACACACACACGAGGAATATGGAAAGGGAAGGAAACCTAAAACCTGAATGTGGTTGATGTGCTCACTGTAGAGGAGTGAATATAATAATCTTAAACTGGCAGAGGCCACTTTGGGAAGGGGACTACAAAGTAGTGAAGATATGGGTTGCAATACACAAGTGCATGGAAGCAACACTAGGAATGTCTCTGTATAACTATCTTCATCTCAAACTAGCAAAACCACTGTGTCTTTCTTACTATCTCGTGCTTTTCTCTTTAACAAAATTGGATACAAAAGGGTGGAACAGGTTCTGCCTGGGGGGGGTGGGAGGGTGGACCAAACAATGTATACACATGTGAGTAAATGTAAAAATGATTTAAAAAAAACCTGAAAAGTTTTAGAAAAGCAGTAAGACATAGTAAAGGAAGATCAGAGATTAATAAAAACAAGAATGCATAGAGAACAGTTATTAGTTGATTCTGAAAAGATTAACAAAATAGACAAAAAAATTCTGGCAATTTTTTCATGGACAAAAAAATGCACATATACCCAGTATTGGTAATGGAAACAGTAATGTCATTATAGGTGCCACAGATACTTCAACAGATAAAGAAGAACATGCAAATTTAAGTTAAGACTGTTAAAACTTTCCCCACAAAGCTGTAGACATAGGTAGTTTTACCAAACTTAAAGAGAATGGGTTATTGTAATACATAAATTCTTCCAGAGATTAGAGTAAGATGTCTCCTACATCAAAACCACTGTCACCTCATAGTAACACCAGATAGGGACAGTGCAAAAAAAGGAAAATTATGGGTCCATTTTAGCCATGAACACGTGACAGCAAATTGAATCTAGCATACTGGCCAAGTGGCATTTATTCCAAGAATGCAAAGGTGGTATGTTAGAAAGTTGATAAATCTCATTTGCTTCATTTGTAGATCAAAAGAAGACTGATGAGTAGATGCACAAAAACAATTGATAAGATCAATGCCCATCAATACAGTTTAGTAATCTGAGGATTTATTTATCAGAATACTTTTCAATGTGATAAGGATAGCTACAAAAACCCTGTAATAAACACCATGCTGGGGAGGAGGGCATTAAAAACAGATGATCATTGTTTTCACTTTTTATTTAACATTGTAATAGAAATGTTAATACAGTAAGATGAAAAAAAGTCTGATTAGGAAAAGATAGTAAGACTCATTTTTGCAGGTTATTTGATCATGTCTGCATAGAGAATAAGGTCTCAGTTTATTAAACATCAAGAGTTCAGCAAGGTAGCTAAATATATAATCAATATTTACTTGTGAATTACACAGTATACACCATTCACAATTAGAATTTTTTAAAAGAATCCAAATAACTGCAAGAATTGTGAATTGCTTAGTAATAAATCTAACTAGATATATGCCAGGCTTGTATGCAGAAAGTTGGAAACCTTTACAAAAAGAGGTTTAGAGAGGTGTCGTGTTCATGACTACAAAGACAATATTAAAGAAAATAATAAAGCACTTCCCTCCAGACTGATCTCTCTCTAGATATTTAATGCACCTCCAACTAAATCCCAACATTTCTCCTGGAATTAGCAAACTGATAAAAATTTATTTGGCAGGGTAAAGGGTGAAGAATGAGGCACTAATGAAAAGGAAAGAACCTTTTATGAGGCTAAAGTATTGATGTGTTAAAAGTGCAGAAACAGACAAAATAGTCCATCAACCAGGATAGAAAACTCTAAAGCAGACCCATATATGTGTGCAAATTTTATATTGACAGAGGAGGCATGGTAAATCAGTCATAGAACAATTTATGAATGGGGATGACAAAAAAAGAGGAAAATATGAAATTGGATCTC